TATATTAAGAGTGGGCGTGGATCGGTTGCAGCCACGGAACCTCCAATCCGCCATCGTCCGTCAGATTGGCGGATTGGAGAAAATCAATCCGCATCCGTCCACCAATCTGGCGGATGTGGATTGAGCGGATTGGCGGTTTGGCAGATGGATGCGAATCGGTTTGGTGGTTTGAAATTTTATAAATTTTCAATATAGTTCAACTCGTGCACTTCCTCAAAAAAGAAGAAGAATAAAGTATTACAGTTAATAACTTAAAAAAGTATTACAACTACTGCATGTCTCATCCAAAGAAAGAAAGTTTGAAACTTTAGAATATCACAATCACTGCATGCCTCATCCATGTATTACAATCATAGTATGCCTCATCCGCATAAAGTATTATAATATGTGGTTCTTAAAATATAAAAACAATTCAAACCACCAAAACCATTAACAGAGCAGTAGTAAAGATTGTATGTCTCTGTATTGTTACATTTATATATGTTTTTGAAAACAAAAACCAACCAGCATATATCATATTTTCTATTTATTACTTTTAGAGTTAGATTTAAAAATCAAAAAATATAGATAAATAATACGTTTATTTTTTTCAATTCAAAAAATATATTCAAGTTGAAAACTTTTTTTCAACAGTATATTTAAACTCTTTTTCAATTAAAAATATAAACAAAATATTTAAATAAATTGAAAACACAAATTCTTATAAATTACTAAGAGTACTCGCGGTTTGACGGTTCGGTTGCGGCCAAAGGAACCTCAAATCCGCCATCCATCTGCCAAATTAGTGAATTGGAGAAAATCAATCCGCAACCGTCCGCTCGTCATCACGCATCCGTCCAAAATGCGACAAATCGATCGGTTCAGTTCGGTCAATTTTAACGAATCGATATATCCGCTGCTCACCCCTAATATGTATATTTTAAAAACAAATGAATCTTACCCACGTCTAATTAAAACAATTTTACGCGTGAATAACTCTTAAAATACTAAAATAAAAATAATAATTGTGCTCAACAGCACCTTTGAGTTGGATCCAGCTGGAGAGATTTTGGTTCAAACCCGACCCGCAATATACTGGATTCCAAACCCGACCCACACTGCCCTGAATTTGGCCGCGGCGCCACCACCACACGCTTCGTTGGTCAAAACTTCATATAATTGCTATCGGGAAATCACCATCGTCTTCGATCTCTCAACTCTGAGATTCCCAACACAAATTCATCTTCACTACACAAACCAACCACCCAATTCAATCCTTTTTCTCTCTTCAATTTCCTGTCTTTCAATCCCTCTTTTGCACTTTCACACAAACCCTAAATCCACACAAACCCTAATCACCAAGAACCATGCTTTCATCTCCAGGCCACTCACCACTCCACCTCTCTTCCCCATCCCCATCACCATCACTCTCTGAAAACCCTAACAATTTATCTTCTTCTTCAGCAAAAAACCCTAAAAACCAACCCATCGTCCTCGATGAAGACACCTATGCCGCCTCAATCGAGAAGATCATCGAGCGTGACTTTTTCCCTGATATCCCCAAGCTTAGAGACCGTCTCGATTGGCTCGAAGCTGTGCGGAGCGGTGATCCTGTTCAAATTCGCGATGCCCAGTTGAAGATTCTCGAGCGCCGAGGCGGGAGGGTTTCGTCGAATCCAGACGATACGATTCAAGGTAAGAGTCTAACGCCCGGGTCGACTTTTTTTAGAACCAGTACTCCTTTTGAATTGGATAAAACTCCTAGTGTAGTGAATAATGAGTTTTCGGGTGGTGGTGAGTCGAATGATGGGTCGGTTGATGTGTCGTTGACGCTTGATGAGTTTTTTAGGAGGCATACTAGTGAGGATAATGATAGTTTTTCGAAAATTATGGAGAAGGTGAACAGGAAGAGGAAGGAGAGGTATGGGTTTTTGATTGAAGGTGAAAAGGAGGAAGTGGGTTTGATTGAGGATGCAAAGAGGGAGCGAATTACGGATGGGTATGGAACGTCGGATCAGCCTCCGAGTACGTTGGAAGGGTGGAATTATACGGCTAAGAATTTGTTGATGTATAATCCGTCTGATCGGGGCGAAGCTCCATTAACTGTGGCGGAAAGGGCAGAGAGGCTTAATGGATTAACGAAGGAAATTAGTCGGTCTAATACCCGTTTCCATGGCAAAATGATGGATTCTAGGCCAAAAGAGGAAGACACTGTTGCAGTGCTTTATACCCCTGTTCCTGGGGCAACTCCAGTTCCATTCTTTTTCTCAGATAGAGAAGCAGATAAATTGAAGAGGTATGATTTGGAAGATTTGAGAAAGACCCCAAATCAATTTTATGTTGAATCATCTAAGAAAGCTGATAATGGTTATAGCTTTGTTAAGACTCCATCTCCAGCACCAGGCGTGGATGAGTCGCCTTTTATAACGTGGGGAGAAATTGAAGGGACACCATTGAGATTGGAAACTGAAGACACACCAATTGGTATTGGTGGTAGTGGCGATGGGCCTCATTTTAAGATCCCTTTGCCACCTTCTAGAGATGTAAAGGCTCACTCATTATCAAGGGATGCTGCTCGTAAATTGAGAGAGAGGTCTAAGATGTTTCAGAAACCACCATTGCCATCACCGGTTAGAGGGGCAAGTGCTAGTCCGAGTTCAAGGACACTCTCTCATGCTGCCCAGAAGTTTGTGAGGAACGCAATTGCAAAGTCATCCCATTCTGTTGATGAATCTCTCCGTGCCAGTTACCGGGGTGCAAGTCCTGGCGTAGGTACTCCAAAAACTGTAAGGAGTCTGTCAAGGTTTGGAAGAGATGGAAGCTCAGATTCCAGGTCACCTTCTGTAAGCGAGGGCTCTAATCCCCCTTGGTAGCATATATATCTGTCCTTTTCCTGTGCTAGTTCCATAATGTTTCTGCAGTGCTATTCTAACTAGAATGTATAATATTTTATCTTTTGGGACTTGTAACACTGGTGAGATTAATGCAAGAACATTAAATAAAATACAAATGCTCTTACCGAATATTGTATTTGGAGGTTCTTGGCCCTGTGAAAAATGTTAAAGTTTGCTGCCCTATTTTAAGTTGCTTCACTGAATAGTTTGTATTCACAATTGCTGGTTAAGTAGTTACTATTTTTCAGGGGATGCTAAAAGGCCCAACTTTTGCTGATGGATTCTTGTTACCATGGTTACAGATCTGTGTTTTCATAATTTATTTGTTCCAGATGTGTTTATGTTGCTTATTTTCTTCCTTCCATCATTTTAGTTGGTTTAATAAGGATTTGTAAATACACCTCTTGGTGGCATATATTTGTAAATACTCATTTGTTTCAACATCTTTGCCATTGTCATCATTGATGCCAATCAGAGTTCTTACTTTTCATCTTGTAATTTTCTTGTTCTTCTTTTTTACTTAAAGAATGCGGCAGTTGTTAGGAACTGCTATTATTTCAAGCTTATTGTTCAACCATGGGCTGAGAAATTTCTCTACTGGTCTATTGTTAACTAGGATAAAAATTATTGGAGTTTGCATTCATTAAACTCATTTTATAAACCCAACCCTTCCAACTTGGTTTTCTGGATTTCGTCATATTTGTTCTGCATCATTGTTGTGTTGTTTAACTGATATGCACCATCTTTAAGGGCATAACATTTTATATTTGTACTTCCTGAACCCAGATATGGTAAAATTCTGTTTCAGTGTTTTAGCTGTTAGGCAAGTTATGGGTGACTGAAAATAGAAATCGTGACGACCTCTGTTTTATGTTCTTAGATAATGGACTGGTTTTGGATAATGGAATACTTGGCTCCAAGTTGTAAGTAGCAACTGTTTAGTGGTGAATAGATTCAAAATCTTTGCAAACCAGATGCAGCTGCTATTTTTATGTTATTAAGGCTGGGACCAATTCTCCCTCTTATTCTTGCTCTCATTGAGTTTGCGGCGTCAATTATGAGCATTGCCACCAACTCACCTTGGTACTTATCAAAGTCAACTTTGGTCATATAAGACCTTTTAAACCATCATATTCTTAAACTTGTAGCTAGTGGGTGAAACATGTTATACTTACTTGCGCTAGTTTGCTTTCCTAATGTGGCACAAAGACTTTTTTTTTAAACCAACTGTGTCATTCAACCCCACCATAAAAATTATAAAAAAAAAAAAAAATAGACGCGTGCATCTACAGAGAGTCAGAGAGAGAGAGAGGGGGGATAAACTAGACATCCATGACATATTCTTGCATCCACAAACTTGTAGGAATGAATTTATGTAATCCATTTTTGCTTATAGGTTTTAGTTTTGCTGTGGTACATAATGGTCTCTCTCAAAATCTTCATTCTCTATTTCATTTCTTCTTGTTTGGCAATCTTCAGTATTAGCCGAAAAGTCACTATGTGGGTGTCTGGGAAGTGATTATTTTTTAGGTTTTTTTGGCTTTTTAACTATTTTAGTAGGCTATTTTAGTTTTTGTATTTGGGAAGATGGGATGAATTTTTATTTGAGTAGTTGTATTGAAAAATGTGTTTAAAATGATGTTCGAGGTTAAAATGACAAATTTGTCTCTAATTCCACTTTTTTCAAAATTGGTGTAAAGGGGCAAAAGTGTCATTTACTACCGGTGGGACAGCCTGCCAAGTGACAGTGGTAGGCTGTCAATGCCACTGGCTGTAGGCTGCCGAGCTATATTTTTTTTTTAATAGAAATCAACCCCCAAAAAAAAAAAAAAAAAAGAAAAAAAAAAAAACCCTATTTTAAGATAGCCCCTTTCCCTCGCATAACAAAACCCATATGTTGGATAGCTCCTTCCCCTCGCATAACCCTTTCCAAAAAAATAAAAAATAAAAAAAAAAAATCAAATTTTTGAGATAGCCTCTCTCCCTCGCATAACCAAACCCATATGTTGGTTAGCCCCTTCCCCTCGCATAGCTCTTCCAATCCAAAAATAAAAATAAAAATAAAAAAAAAAAAAAAAAAAAAAATCATATTTTGAGATAGCCTCTCTCCCTCGCATAACAAAACCCACATGTTGTTTTGCCCCTTCCCCTCGCATAACCCTTTCCAAAAAAAAAAAAAAAAAATTTTTGAAATAGCCTCTCCCCCTCGCATAACCAAACCCATATGTTGGTTAGCCCCTTCCCCTCGCATAACTCTTCCATCAAAAAAAAAAAAAACAAATTTTTGAGATAGCCTCTCTCCCTCGCATAACCAAACCCATATGTTGGATAGCTCCTTCCCCTCGCATAACCCTTTCCAAAAAAAAAAAAAAAAAAAAAAAAAAAAAAAAAAATTTGGTTTGGCAAATGACGGGACTGGAGGAGTTTTTATATATGTTTTAAAAACGGATTTTGGTTAAAAGCGTCGTGATCATCCACGCTTTCTGTGGTGAACAGTAAAAGCGTGGTTCATAACCACGTTTTCAGTAGAAATTTTTTTTTAGTTAAAAGCGTGGGTCATAACCACGTTTTTAGAAAAAATAAATAAATTAATAGCGTGGTTTGTAACCACGCTTTTATGATTTCACAAAATTTCCGCGCGACAGCCACAAAAATGTTGAAAGCGTGGTTCACAACCACGTTTTAGCCTAGTTTGAGAATTCCATCCAAACTAGGCCTAGTTTGGGAATTAAGTTACTAATTTGGTTTAATTTGGGAAAAGCCCCTAAAATTTGAGTCTCGATCCTCGGCCGCCCATTCCTACGGCGCGTCCTGCGGCACCCCCAAAACGACGTCGTTTTGGGGGAAATTTCATTCAAAAAAAAAAAAAAAAAAAAAAAACCAAACAATATTTTTATTGCGTGGCTCACCTCTGTTTTTCACAAAACCTCCTATTTTCCACAAAATAACACTATATATATATATATATGAATCTATACATGAGAACATAATTCAAATCAACTATGCACAGACCCATACCTTTACAACCTTAGGAAGCCCCAATCGCGACGAGCGTCTGCCGTTCTTCTTCCTTCCCCTTCCCGCAGCTCTCCTTTTCCCCTTCCTGGTTCGTTTCCTGGTTCGTTGCTCCTCTCAAAATCCACCCATAGCAATAACCCTTAGAAACCCAACTTTACCGAATCAAACAGATCGAAACCCAACCCTTGTTGCTGATGGCTCACGCACGGGTCCTTCGATCAAGACCCAAACAGAACCCAGCCCTAGCAACCGAACCAGAATCACAATTCAACTCCCAACAGCCCAATCGACCGCCCCACAGCACCCCCGCGGCTCACCTAACGGCACCTTCTGTGACTCGCAGCACTCTTCTTCCCTCCTTTCTCTCTCTGCCCAACTCGTCTCTCTCCTCCTTTCGCAACTTCGAGGTTTGATTCACCACCCTCAAACAAACAACACAAAAATCTAGCCCCTCACCATTCGATACCGTAACAACAGTGTGAGAAAAGCCGTGATGCCTTCGTACCACGCAGGCGCTGTCGGGTCTCACTTTGGAGCTCGCCGGCGGCAACCCTTTCCCTCCTTAGCTGTCAACCTTCCTCTCCCAACTATATTCTGGATTCTATAGTCTTTCCCACTAAGTTGAATTCTAGGTTTTTAGAAAGAGAACAGAAAAGTCTATCCAAACACAAACTTGCCTAGCCCCTCCCTTAATGGTATAAGAAACCCAGCTACGGGTAACCAAATCCATCACACACCCTTCTGTACAATGGGTAAAAGGAACAACCAGAGATCCTGATTCAAAAAAATAATAATAATAATAATAACAATAATAAAAAAATAAAAAAAAATAATAATAAAAATGTATATATATCTATATATATATCTGTATATGTAGAGTCCTTATTTTTCTAAAACGGCAAGCTCATTTTTGAGAATGGTTCCAACAAGTTCAAGATATACCCAAAATATACACAATCTTTTTACGTGGCAATAATGCAACGTTCAAGCAGGGCGAGGTTTAAAATAAAAATAAAAAAATAAAAAATAAAAAAATAAAAATTTTTTACTAAGGTCGTACCTTCCCAAGGAAAATCTTTAAACCAATCAAAAATTCTCTTTGCCTGTTACAAATATTAAAAGCAAACTGCAACAACCTTAGACTCTTCAAACAAATCGCTCAAGCTATCCATCCCTAGAACTTGATGTATCTAACAAAGAAGGCCTAGCACTAACCATATCACATCCAACATCGTCTTCAACATCATCTCTTGCCCCCATAACCTCAAGACTCTGATCCGAACCCTCTTCATCATCATCTGAATTTTCTACATCGTCCTCAGCACCTATGGGCAAGACTTTATGCCGTACCAATTTTATTTGACACGCGCCAGCCGACCCCTGCAAACAACACAAGTATTTTAATACAAACATATTGGAAACGCCACAATTTTAATTCCAAAGTACAAGATATGAGTTTACCTGTGACGAATCAATGGTGTCAGTCGAGCAACCCCTCGCTTGGCGGGCAATCCTGGTTTTAGTAGGCGGACCTATACCTCTAATCTGTGGAGGTACTCTCCCAGGCACTGGAACAAGAACGGAGGAAGGGGGTGGCCTTTTACGCTTGGCACTAGATGGTCGGTCAGGAGAAACTATCTGGGATTGTTCCAAAGCAATAGTCACCTTAGATAAACGAGCCAATGGGCTGAGTTCCCCCCTATCTGCAGCTGACAAGCCCCGATCTCCGCGAGCCATACATAACTCAGGGTCATCAGACGGAATGAGCTCAACATGGACAGGATCAAGATCACTACTCAAAAAAGCCCGAAATAATGCAAGATTGCATCTCCAATACTTCTTCCAACTAGGGGTGGTTCCGCCAATTCTACCCTTACTTGCTAGCACAACCCGCCCCCGACGCCTTAATTCTTCTGAAAGGAAAGAGTATACATATAGTTGCATACAGTCGGCGGCCGAAGGCGCAGGAGAAGAAAGATGTTGAGGAACCCCTTGGTCCAAACCAAACTGTCGAGCAACCCTCAACGGATAATAGGCCACCACACCGTATGTGCCATCCAGAAAATAGGGTAAATACCCAGAAACGGTGCTAAGAACCATCGCTGAATCCGCATCCCCCAAATAAGACACACCCGGCTCGAGAACAAGCTCGCAATCATCTAGGCGATAGGCAACGGTGGAAGATACTCCACAAACTGGCATAACATAAGGACGAGCAACAAACTTGTCCTCAAAATCAAAAATGCTGGCCAAACTCCCCTGTACACATCCCTCAGCCCACCTAGCAGAACGCGGCTCATTTTCTTCAATGGAAAACACCTTCGGCACAGGGGCCAAGCTGGGAAATCTCTCATACAAAAACAACTGTAGAAAGGTAGTAGGAAGGAAGCTGGTAACATCGTATCGTCCTTTGGAACGATCAACACCCTCCTGATACATATCTAACCTCCTATACAGTCCCCCCAAAAATAAAGGAGCCAACGGAATCGGACGGCCGGAAGCAAGAATGGCAGCAAGAGGAAAGAGCTCATGGCAAATACCGTCTTGGGGTCTACCCATCAAGACATACCGCGACAACCAATATGTAATGAAAGCAGCTAAATGCTCAATACTCCCCCACTTGTCCCCTTCCATCCCTGGACCTATGAATCCATCCTCCGCATTTCCTTGCACCTGATGGCTAAGATCTCGAAACCAGTACCGAAGCCATCCCCCGAAAGTGTTTTTTGGGCGTTTTCGTGATCGAGATGTTACTAACACTTTATTTTGATAACGACTTAATAACTTGCCTGCCGGTGCCACGGCCTCCTCCAATCTCCCAACAATAGCCATCTGGCTAAGGGACAAACTTCCCACGCTAGGGTTCGCCGATCCAAGATGCTCTAACCCCGTCAAAACAACTACATCCTCTAGAGTAGGGGTCGTCTCGCCCCACTGTGCAATAAAAGTATGAGAACTTGAACTCCAACGTGACAATGCGAACTCCAACCAAGATGGCTCCCGTCTAATTCGCATACACTGAGAAATAGCAGTAGCAATCCTAGCTCCAGCAAGCACCTCACAATATGAGGGATGACGGAAGATAGCTGCGCTCCAGATATCAAAGTCATCTTTAGGCCCCGTATAATCCTCAAAAGCTGGAAAAGAATACGGATAAGTGCCCCTTTCCACATGAAAACGTACGATAGACTCTGGAGGAACAAAAGCTTCAACCCCTTTTTCTGGCTCAACCCCACCAAGAAGGAAATCAGTCGAATCAGTCGGGACACCGCCATTGTCATCAAATAAATCCACCCTCGCCCAAAACAAATCAATGGCACCAAAGAAAGGTGCCCTACACCAATATTCCACTGGAGGGACGTTTGGAGGATCCGTGTCCTTCTTGGCCTTAAAAAAATTCTTCTTGAATTTACCCTCTTTTGACTTGGAAATGCCAGAAGAACCTACTAGTGATTGTTACGGGCTGCGACGGGACACAACACTTCCCCCTTTTACTTTAGCCATATCACAAAAGCTCGCCTTTCCTGCATCAACACAAGATTCTCACATCAGAAATATCATTCACTTTGGAGGTGCATTTTTTTTTTAAAAAAAAAAAAAATTTGAGTTAAACCCAAAACTCATATTTTGAAAATAATCCCCTCCCCTCGCATCACAAAACTCATATTTTGCAACACTCCTTTCCGTCGCATAATGAAACTCCCATTTTGAGATAGCCTCTCCCCCTCGCATAACAAAACCCATATGTTGTTTAGCCCCTTCCCCTCGCATAACTTTTCCATCAAAAAAAAAAAAAAAATTCATATTTTGAGATAGTCTCTCTCCCTCGCATAACCAAACCCACATGTTGTTTAGCCCCTTTCCCTCGCATAACTTTTCCATCAAAAAAATTAGCCCCTTCCCCTCGCATAACCCTTCCCAAAAAAAAAAAAAAATTCATATTTTGAGATAGTCTCTCTCCCTCGCATAACCAAACCCACATGTTGGTTAGCCCCTTCCCCTCGCATAACTTTTTCATCAAAAAAAAAAAAAAATTCATATTTTGAGATAGTCTCTCTCCCTCGCATAACCAAACCCACATGTTGGTTAGCCCCTTCCCCTCGCATAACTTTTTCATCAAAAAAAAAAAAAAATTCATATTTTGAGATATTTTTTTTTTTTTTAAAAAAAAATTAATTTCTTTTTTTTTTTTTTTTCCTCCCTCGCCTCATTTTCTTATACTTCCCGAATTTGTTTCATGGGCTTCATCTTTATAGCTCCCTTTTATTTACAGTCCTCTATTACCTCATCAATTTAAAAATAAAATAACATAAAATAAAATACAATAAAATAAAATTATATTAAATCGCCCCTTCATTATTTCATTTGTTTACCTTATTTTTATATTTCTCCAAATTCTTTTAGAGCTTCCCTCGGTTCAGCTTTTCTGTTTACAACCTATAAATTATAAAACAATAAAACTCCTTAACTCGCAATACAATACTAAATTTGGCCAAAAAGCTCTCCGATATTTATTCCGACAGTTCTTTTTATTCAGCATACACTTCTCCATTATTCGTTATTAATTACTTTCCAACATTTTCTCTTTTTACCTAATTAACAATTTTATTATAGACCTCTCCACTTCTCCATAATACAACCCTCTTTTATTGATCTGCCTCTTGCTCCAAAAAAAAAAAAAACAAAAAAAAAAAAAAAAAAAAAAAAAAAAAAACAACAACAACAAACAAAAAAACAAAAAATTTATATACATTTTTAAATAAAATATATATATATATTTAAAAAAAAAAAAACAAAAAAAAAAAAAACAAAAAAAAAATTATTTCGGGGCTTATATATGAATCTATACATGAAAACATAATTCAATTCAACTATGCACAGACCCATACCTTTACAACATTAGGAAGCCCCAATCGCGACGAGCGTCTGCCGTCCTTCTTCCCTCCCCTTCCCGCAGCTCTTCTTTTTCCCCTTCCTGGTTCGTTTCCTGGTTCGTTGCTCCTCTCAGAATCCACCCATAGCAATAACCTTTAGAAACCCAACTTTACCGAATCAAACAGATCGAAACCCAACCCTTGTTGCTGATGGCTCACGCACGGGTCCTTCGATCAAGACCCAAACAGAACCCAGCCCTAGTAACCGAACCAGAATCACAATTCAACTCCCAACAGCCCAATCGACCGCCCCACAGCACCCCCGCGGCTCACCTAACAGCACCTTCTGTGACTCGCAGCATTCTTTTTCCCTCCTTTCTCTCTCTGCCTAACTCGTCTCTCTCCTCCTTTCGCGACTTCGAGGTTCGATTCCCCACCCTCAAACAAACAACACAAAAATCTAGCCCCTCACCATTCGATCCCGTAACAACAGTGTGAGAAAAGCTGTGATGCCTTCGTACCACACAGGCGCTGTCGGGTCTCACTTTGGAGCTCGCCGGCGGCAACCCTTTCCCTCCTTCGTAGCTGTCAACCTTCCTCTCCCAACTATATTCTGGATTCTATAGTCTTTCCCACTAAGTTGAATTCTAGGTCTTTAGAAAGAGAACAGAAAAGTCTATCCAAACACAAACTTGCCTAGCCCCTCCCTTAATGGTATAAGAAACCCAGCTACGGGTAACCAAATCCATCACACACCCTTCTGTACAATGGGTAAAAGGAACAACCAGAGATCCTGATTCAAAAAAAAAAAAAAATAATAATAATAATAATAATAATAATAACAATAATAAAAAAAATAAAAAAATAAAAATGTATATATATCTATATATATCTGTATATGTAGAGTCCTTATCTCATTTTTCGAGAATGGTTCCAACAAGTTCAAGATTATTTTTCTAAAACGGCAAGCTCATTTTTTTGAGAATGGTTCCAACAAGTTCAAGATATACCCAAAATATACACAATCTTTTTACGTGGCAATAATGCAACGTTCAAGCAGGGCAAGAGTTTTAAAATAAAAATAAAAAAATAATAATAATAAAAAAATAAAAAAATTTATATACATACTAAGGTCGTACCTTCCCAAGGAAAATCTTTAAACCAATCAAAAATTCTCTTTGCCTGTTACAAATATTAAAAGCAAACTGCAACAACCTTAGACTCTTCAAACAAATCGCTCAAGCTATCACACACTACCAAGCAGCTCCAAATCAGCTACTATTAGTAGTCTGCTCTAAACCTATAAGTCCAATTGATGGGTCGTCTTCTCCATAGATCGCTCTTCCCAACAAAAAGCTGCAAAAAGTCAATGAATTCACACCTCTTCCCCGTCTTTATAAGAGAGCACAAATGCAGGACAAAATTCATATCCAATTACTAACACTCTCCTTTCAACCCATCCTCTCTAAATGGCTTCCGGCGGCCAGCGGCACCGAGATAACACCGTTTGGCGGCCGGTGAACAAGGCTCTAAACCCAAGAGGTCCAAGCTATAGAGCTTCATGCTCTAGCTCTAAAGTTTGGAGCTCCACTCCTACTCACCGCCGCCCTGTGTGTGAGTTTTTTTCGAAAAATGCTCTCTATGCCTCCATGGCAATTCCAAGATCAACTATTCGAATCCCCTTGGATCCAACACCCAATATCTGCTCATACAGTAGTAGAGGTGCCAGAAGAATTCCAGGGTAAAATAAGAGGATGGTACAAGGCACTAACCATTCCAGAACTTTACACAATACCACTGTCCCATACTTGGTTTTTGCTAAACCAAGAAATCAACCTCACTCTCCAGGGATCCACCTGCCAGGCAAATCAGGTGTTAGTCCCACATTTCGAGAGGATCCGTATCAACATCCTCTCACAAAGACCAACAGAAAGAGATCTAGACCACCACATCTCTATCATGTCAGCGCCATTGGTAAACCCAAATGAAGATTTGGGACTTGGATGGGACATAGAGAGCCTTGCAGATCTCAACATAGGAGAAGAGAGCGTTTCCCGTAGTGCCCAGCCAAACATCCCGCTCAACATTTCACTTAACATCCTCTTCTTCAACACTGAGGGTGTTGCTCGCCCCAACTTCCTCCAACACTACATGCACCTACACTCTAGCAGACGCTTCCACCTCGTCATCATCACAAACACAAAAAAAGAAGGAAGCGAGGCCCAGTTCATGAGCCAAATCATGGGCTTTCCTAACACCAAGACCATTGCCCCCCCTCCTAGCAGTATGGAAAGGGTGAGAGGCGGAATCTGGTGCCTATGGAATGAAGCCGAAATCTCCTGTGAAGTAGTAGCGAGCCCTTGGCTCTCTTAAACACTAAGGTGGGCCCTGGCCCATTTATCTACTTGGATGCCTGGGTTGGGAGCAGGACCCAGGCACTACTGCTCGGGATCATCAGAGGATACTGGACTGGCGGCTGAGGTCATGGGATCGTCGAGATAGTTGTCTTCTTGCTAAGACAACTCTATCTTGACCAGGCTTGGAGAAGAGGCAACAATGACCTTACGTTCATGTCATCCGATGCATATACGAAACGTTACTTTCTGCCTGCCACGAAACGTTGCTCTCCGCCTGCCGGCAAGCCACAGACGGCAGAAGGGCTTATATCACTTCTGGCAGAGTTGAGGAGAACGAGCCACCTGTCCAACAGTTTGCTTGGGCTCCAATACTCTTGCGGCCTATATAACGTATTGTATATGCAGCGAGACACAACAACAACAATACAACCAAGTTCCATGCTAAAACACTCCCTCATACTTTATATTAGTGTTCAAAGGTCTATCACTGCCAACCTCTCCCTCTCCAAGCTTGCCTTGACCTCCTCCTCTCCACCTCCGGTGATCCCAAGCCATCGAAGTGCCCGCCATCTTCCCGGACTACCTCTAACCACACCTCTCACCCACACCGAGTAAGGACAAAATGGAAATAAATAGAAGGAAGGTGAACTCTTTGAAAAATATTTAAAAACATTTCTTTATAGGTTTGGAGTTGAAGGAAACAGGAATGGATGGAAAAAAACTGATTTAGGAAAAAGTGGAACATCAAATCGTTAGAAAAGAAATGAACAGTCTTCACTAATTTAAGTATATCTCTTTGTACACTTGGAATTTAGATGTGAGGCCACCACCATTAGAAAGTAGACTTCTGGGGCTTCAATTTAGACTCAAGAATCACGTAAAACCGAGTCCGGGTAAGGGAGATATGCCCGTTTGAAGTCGGATTTAAGAATAGATTTTGTTGACCCGGCCCAAGACAGTAGCAGACCCTTTTTTTTTTTTTTTGGTTCAGTTGGGACACCCCATTGACCCATTTTTTGATATATTTATCACCAAACGCATATACACTCAACCTCCATTATCTAGTGTTTGATCCATTGGACAAAAGGCTCCACTTTTGTCCCCCATTAGCTCCATTAGCTCTATTATCTTTCTTTATGCTCTATCTTATCTTCCGCCATTTCTTCACTTGCTTAGCCTATAAGTATACATCATATTGTTGAGAAGAGTAAGAGGATAGATTAAGAAGAGAATATTTCAGCTAGAGAAAAGAGAGAAAAAATGAGTTTTTGAGTTAAAAACACTCCTATCTTCCATATACACCCTATACCTTCCATACAAACTAAAATTCCATCTTTTCTACACCCAAAGCTCCTCCAAAAATTCTGAAATACTTGAATTTTAGTAGCTTTGATCAAGAGAAAGAGTGGGTGTTGGTGAAAGTGAACAAAAACAAGAGAGATAAATCACTTTTCACCACAAACACCTCCAAACCATCATTCTAGCAATAATTTCAAGTTTTCAAATTGAGGATTGAAAACATAATTCATACACTTGAAGGTGATCAAAAGAAATTTGGAAATCATGAAATTCATCCTTTCTTGAAAAGGCGAATTTTCAATTTATTTTATTTTCTTACGTCTTACTTATTTTGCCCTTTTGCTTTGATATCTTGTTATATTATATATTGTTGTAATCCAATTGAAAATGGTGAGTTGAGAGTCCCATATATATTGTTTTTAGTTATGTTTTAAGCATGAGAAAAAGACCTTCCATGCTTAATGGTTTAATCTTTTCGGAGGTTCATTACTAGTGCATTACATCTCTCTCATGCCAATAACAAACTTCTTGTTTGACGTTTCTCTTCATTAGTAGGTGTAATTATCACTTTTGGACAAAATGATTAAAGAATGGAAAGGTAATAAAAAGGGCTAATAAAATTTGACTAAAAGAGACACAAGATAACAAAATTGAGTTGGGTTCAATCGAACGTCATATTGAACCCATTGCATTTCTTACTTATTTTGCTCTTTTACTTTGATTTCTTGTTATATTATATATTGTTGTAATCTAACTGAAAGTGGTGAGTTGGGATTCCCATATTTATTGTTGTTAGTTTTGTTTTTGTTGTGAAAATCTAAGAAAATAGAGTTTAGCCGAGCCCATCGGGCTACCCGGCTAGTTAGTTGGTCGGGTAGCCACCTAAAAGTACACTATCGCACCCGCGACCTTCATGACCGTGCCCGCAACCTCTAGGCAAAACTGGGTAGCCTTCCGACACTGAGAAGATCAACCTCCGATAGTCTTTGAGAAGCTTGAAGCTGTTATTTTGTTATGTTTATTTTATATTGAGTGTTTATGAGAATTTTTATATTATGTTGTAATATTTATTCATTTCCCCCGAATTTGTAATATTTAAAGTGTTGTAATAATTTCTCATCTCTACTCATCTATCCCATTCTTTAATCGTTTT